TCTCAGTTATTGTTTTAAAACGTTCACATTCTACTCTTATTCTTGTGCCTTATTAATGGAAGTCCTAATTATTTCTCCGTAGTTCCTCCAAGTGTGGCAGGTGCTGAAATTCCAAGTGATGTCAGTGTCCTTCTAGGAGAAAATGTGGAGCTGGTCTGCAAAGCGAATGGCATTCCTGCCCCACTTATTCAGTGGCTTAAAGATGGAAAACCCTTAACTAGTGCTAAAAGAGAAAGAATTCGGTATGTAAAAAGAATCTTTTCGTTATCAATTGTAAGATCTTCTACAGTGATTATGTTTCAAATTTCACAAGAATAATAGTATCAAATTTCATCTCATTGGAACTTGGCCATTATTCTCTTCACAAAAAATAGATAAATTTTTGGAGAACTGGATATAGAAATTCTTAAAGAATCACTTAAAAGTGTATATATGTGTTTCTTATCCACCAATCCTGTGTTATAAAATCTCCTCAGACACTCATTCTTAAAATGTGAATTAACAATTATTGTTTCTATTTTTCTAACTTCAGAATGTTTATACCAAAGTCCATTTAGTAAAATAATCAGCTCTTTCCTACTAATGTTAAACTAATTTCATTCTACAAAAGATTCAAACCATAGCCGGGCATTGTGGTGAGCACCTGTAGTTCCAGTTACTCAAGAGGCTGAGGCAAGAGAATCACCTAAGCCCAAGAGTTGGAGGTTGCTGTGAGCTGTGACACCATGGCACTCTACCGAGCACAATAAAATTAGACTGTCTCTAAAAAAAAAAAAGACTCAAACCAAATTGTGTACATGCCATACTAATTGGCTGATTTTGAGACAAGATATAATGACATCATAACCCTCATAGTGGTTTATCCAAATCCTATGAAAGCTGACACTTGTTACCCATGCCACAAACCACACAGAGATGGAATAATGTAGTAAAGGCCTTACTACTTATAATAACAAATTCCTGTGGAAGCACAATCCAGAACTCTACATTCTACTTGACTGCAAGTAGGCATTTAAATAAATATTTGTAAATTTTATCATTTTCAACCAATATTTTAA